AGGGTTTTGATTGAAAATTGATCTGAAATAAGGAAAAGAACTTTTGGGGATTTCGAAGTTTTTAAGGGTTGTTTCGATTGAAAATTGATGTGAATTAAAAGGAATTTTGGGAAATGAAGATGAAGGTGGTGTTTAATTAATTTAATTTGGATGAGATGGTTTTTGAAGGTTGATTGAGTTCAGAGGGTCGACGAAGATCGATTTTCTTTTGTTTATAGAATAATAACATCGATGTGTAATGTTTTCCATTTTTGGATTGTTGAGGGTATGCTGGGTATTCGAAATTGTATGGAAATCTAGAACAATAGGGGTTGATAAAAACACTCGTTAGTGAACGAGTTTTATTTCACATTTTCCACTTATTTTGTTGTATTTAGAACAATTGAAGCTTAATAAAGAGGAAGTATAGACTTCTCTAATTGTCCTCCACTCATTCATTAATTCCCTAACAATATTATTATTAATATAATATTTATAATACCAGAGCATTACGATATTATTACAATATTAACACGATATTGCAACATTGATACAGTATAAACAATATTACAATATCAATGTAATATCAGTGTTAATAAATTATAACAATATTAATATAATATTATTATCAATAGAATACAAACTTTCAGACTCTAATTGATCGTTTCCAGTGTTACCATAGAATTCAAATTGCATATGCACGAGCATTCGAACATATTCGAGGTGATGCGACATAAAATATTATCACTAATGTATTCGAAGGTCGTCACTTTATCAATTTCGATGCGAGAGTTTCGTTTATCTGTCCATCTTGATGTATATGGGAGAATTTTAATATTATCGTATGCATTTTATGGAAAGAAAATGAGAGAACCTGCGCAGCAACAACAATAATTTCACTGTGTACTTTCATAGTGATTCCCCTGACCGTTGCATGGGATTATGGCCGGAAATTAGTATTAATGGATGGGCTTTAATTGGAAAAATTGGAAGAGCCTGTGCATTTACCACTGCGAATCAGTTCTTCATGCATTTTCATGCTCTCATACTGGCTGTAGGAAAAATATGAAGGAATATTAATATTAATCCATGTATTATAATTAGTGGGGAGGAATAGTGGAACGAGACCGGGACGGGGAGAATGTTAATAACTTTCCTCGTCCATTTTCATAGCGATAGGGAAAAATAATGTGCTGAAGACCTGCTCCCCTAAAAGCCTTTATGTCCTGCAGGTACTTTAAAGTACCATTTTCATTAAAGTGCCGCTGCGAACCAAATATTAATCTAATTTATTCGAGAACAGTATCATGTGTGTTCATCCTCTAATGTGTGCAAAAATATTTATAACACACGTACTTTTTTCTTTTTAATAGTTCAATGGTATACACGATAAAGACAGCTGTAAATAGTTAAAAAAGAATGGAAGGATTAAATGAGTCTTACGTGATTCAATTAAATTATTATCTGTAGTATAAGATATTAGATATTAGATAATTTGTTGAGTGAAATAAAGTTAATATTAAAAGAGTTGTTAAATAATTATTATTAATTTCAAGAACAACCCTTTCTACTTTGTGCAAAAATATTTATGACACACATATCTTTTTCTTTTTAATAATTCAATAATATCCACAATAAAGATAGCTGTAAATAATTAAAAAACAGTGGAAGGATTAAATATTAGTAAGTCTTTTTATATATCAGATAATTTTTTAAGTGGAACAAAGTTAATATTAGAAGAGCTATTAACTTATTACTATTAATTTCAAGCACAAAACTGTCTACCGGTGTCAAAACACCTTTTGAAATCCTAATTGTCCTAATTAGTTTTTCAATGTTCATCCTTCTTTGTTTGTTTCCACAAAAAGAATTTACCATCTAATTTGTTTATCTCTATTTTGTAACCAGTTACTATGTATTTACGGTAGGGACACTGTTGATGTTAAAACTACTTTCTCAGTTTAACCAGTTTTCCCCAATCGAATTTTCGACATTCTATATACTTGTTTTTCTAACCGTAAAATAATTCTGTAAAGCAAAGGATAATTACATGTTTACATGAAAAAACAACGTCTATTTGGCCGCAGTGCGTGCTTGGCAATGAAGTCCCCATGTCGCACGCCCGGAATCTTCGCGCAGCAACCCCATTGGCGTTCAAATTATTTTAACAAGCTCTCGCCTCTGCTTTTTTCAGGCTCCCCTGCGGGACAATGGAGGGTGGCGGACCGTAACGGCGACGAAACGGAACCGTTTGCCGCTCCGAAGGGTGAAATGTGGCCTGGTTATGGGATAGGGTGTCGAACCAGCAGCTCTGCGGTCAACTTGTCTCCGCCCGGCTCTCGGTAATTGGTATTTCAAATAGACAATCCCATTAAGCGCGGAAATTAATTCGACACCGTTTCGAAATAAATACGAGCAATTCCGTTTTTCCAGGCGATTCTCGGTTAACCCTTCGCCTTTTGGTTTCTGTTGCACCTGTTCTAGTTAGAATTCTATTTATTTGAATAATTAGAATAAGGGTTGAAAAGAAATTTCTATTTATTTTAAAGAATTTTCGAAACTTCTCGATCATTTTATTGTCTCCTCCGCATGAATGTTTGTTTGAAAAATTTATATAAATGCAAACAGTTGCCAACATAAGGGTTGGAAAGATGTTTTCATTCATTCTATAAAATGTTTCAAATTTCGTGATGATTTCATTATTTCTACATTGTTATTTGTTTCGAAAATAACAAATTAATGATTAATGCTTTGAAATATGATTTCTGTTGCAACTGTTCTAGATAGAACTATATTTATTTGAATAATTAATTTTAGTAATATTTTATTCGGATTTGAGAAGATTAAATAATAGTTTGATTTGTCAGTTTGAGATTAAATGTATCGAGAAGAAATTTTAATAGAGACATTTTTTGGAATTGCTTTGATTTTTTAAGTAGAATTTAATTGTTGTATTCTGGTTTTGGTGCAGAAATCAGAAAGAGAAAGGAACGATGGTTTTGTGAAAATTTTTGTGCTGTTTGGTTGTTATTCTGTAACAATGAGAGTTTGCACAATGAGGATTCTCACTGGCATTGAAGTTTCAGTTGTTTATGATATTCATTTCGTTATTTCTGAAAAGAATATGGCTCATGTTTGATATGATACTTCTATTAATTGACACTATTCTTTTATCAGAATTTATATGAGTGTTATACTATTGTATGGAGATGTATTAAACGTCGATTGATTTTTAGTTTGTTCTCAGGAGTAATTTTTATGCACAATAGAACAGATTGATACAGTATAAACAGTTCATACAGCACATAGTATTGTGCATGAAAATTGCAGCGCTAAGGAAAACGAAAATCGATTGAACGTAAGTCCTTCGGCATTTATTAATTCATGTTCTCGTCATGTTGCAATTTTTATGCACCCTGCTTGTATTCAATATGGCTTGAATTTTAATTTCTATATTTATACTATCGATTTTTATGCAAGTGTTCGATTTCACAGATAATTTTCCACGAAACAAAGTCAGAGAAAAAATCTCTCTATTGATTGGCAAATTTTTACATTAAAAATAAACCTGCAGTTCAAATAAAAATCCATGAAACTGTTGGAATATCTTGCAGAAACGTAGTCATTATTTCGTTAGAATTTTCGACACCAATGGTCGTGTACGATGCTGTTTGATTGTAAAGGTTAAAAACGGTTTTTCTTTGCGACCCTCGTTTTAAGATGGGTGACCGCGCACAAATTCTCTCAACCTTCTTCTTTCCTCTACAATTCAGTTTTCACTTCCATTCAGTACAGTGTTCTGTATTTAATAGATGCAAATGTATCCATCTCTCTAATAATTTCAAGAAATTTTTCTCTCAAAGGAATTTCTTTCTTGAAGAGTGTAAATTGTGAATTTTTCAGACTAAAAAAAAGAAGATGGAGGAAATCCTCAATCCAGTTTTATAATACTCTTACCATTTCAGAACTAAAGTATTTTCATTGGTAGATACAAGTGTTCTCTGGATAACTTCAAGGAAACTCCTATAAGAAATAATTTATACTCCATTCCACAGTATAAATTCTGGATCTTCAAAAGGAAATCTCCAAACAAGAAAAGGTTTCCACATCATAACTATATTCACCTGTTCTACTGTGTATTCAGCCAAAACAGAAGCAAAGGAAAATCCATAGAAGCACAAAATTTCCTTCATCTTCCCAAAACAATCATCCGTAAAAGAAAACCTCCAAGTTGAACTCTAAAAGGTTTCCCCATAGTAACTATATTCACTTGTTCGACTTCCGAATATTCAGCCAAAACAGAAACAAAGGAAAATCATAGAAGCACAAAATTTCCTTCATCTTCCCAAAGCAGTCAAATCCATAAAAGAAAACCTCCAAATTTGAACTCTTCAAACTTCGACTGTTCAAAGGAAAAGAGGAGGCCGAAATTCCCAATGCATTCTCATCTCACCCCACGCAGTAACACCATTCAAGCGAAGCGTCATCCCCTGACACCTGCGCAGCCGAAAAAGAACTCATCTCAACCGTGGAAATTCCGAGTTCCAGGACAAAGCTCCAAAGAAAACTGGTTCGACACAGTGCCGATTAAAGATAGAACAACCCCTCGTGTTCGTTCGAGCCGAGAAAGGATGAATCCCACGTTCCAATACTCCGTTGCAGATCAACGTCCCTCGCCCTTCCCAATGAAGAAGCTCGCACCGCCGGAAGCAGCAGTCGGAAAGTTAAAATGAGTAGCGTGCGTTCCAGCTAGAGAGACAAAGAAGAAGAAGAAGAAGAAGAAGAAGGACCACAGTAAGAAAGAAGGAGACAAGAGGAAGAAGGTGTCTTCCGAATAGTTTCAGACGAGGCTCGAATCTTTCCTAGGGTCTCGGCGGAGTTGCTCGAAAACTCGCAACAAAGGGAATTGAATGGGCATCGGTGGATACGGGGCACGAGGCGTGCGCCGCTGACACTCCACCACCACCGTGTCCCCACTACCCAGCGCTGCCAGCAGCAGCAGCAGCATCGCTGGCGAGCCATCGGCGCGCACCTCTACTTCGTGCCACCTCTACCTCCTCGATCAGTCGACCCCGTGCAACGCGGCTCGCCGGCCGCCGCGCGATACCAAACCCCAGTGTGCCCAGCCTCGTGTGATCTTCTCGAGACGCATCCTCCAAACGAGACCACCATCCATCCCCTAAAACCTCTCCGCGAACCACATCGAGTGAAGCTCTTTAGCTCCAAGCGGTTTACCAAGATATTCCTGAAAGGCAAGGCGCGACGAAGGTGCTAAAATAAAAAGGTGCTCAAGGGCGCGCGTGCGTGTGCTAGCTGGTGCGTGTGCAGAAGGTCACGGTGAACCCCTAGGAGGAGCACAGGTGTCTAAGGTTGCGGCCGCAGACCTGGAACCGGCGGGCAACACGGTCGCGACGTGGATAGGGGAGAGAAAGTGTCCGCGTGAAAGGCCGGGTTCCCCGCTAACTTGTTGAGTCTCTCAGCAGGTGTGCCAGCCGGAAGCCAGGGGCACGCACGCGATGGCTGAGAGGCTGCCCGCGCTGATCCTGCTCACCCTGCTGGGCTCGGCGAGGGCCAACGTCGCCTCCCAGAGGAACGGCAACGTCCACAACGATCCCCTGGTGGTGCAGACGACCAGCGGCCTGGTGCGCGGTTTCTCGCGGACAGTCGTCGAGAGGGAGGTCCACATCTTCTACGGCATCCCCTTCGCTAAGCCGCCTATAGGTCCGCTCAGGTTCCGCAAGCCCCTGCCCATAGAGCCCTGGCACGGCATACTGAACGCCACCGTGCTGCCCAACAGCTGCATACAGGAGAGGTACGAGTACTTCCCCGGCTTCCCAGGCGAGGAGATGTGGAACCCCAACACCAACATCTCCGAGGACTGCCTGTACCTCAACATCTGGGTGCCTCAGAAGCTCAGACTCAGGCACAAGGGATCGGAACCCCCTAACAATAGGGACAAGAACGGCGTTCCTCTCCTGGTCTGGATCTACGGGGGAGGATTCATGACTGGCACCGCGACCTTGGACGTTTACGACGCTGACATCATGGCTGCCACCAGCAACGTGATCATCGCCTCTATGCAGTACAGGGTCGGCGCCTTCGGGTTTTTGTATCTGAACAAACATTTCGCCAACAGCGAGGAAGCTCCGGGCAACATGGGCTTATGGGACCAGGCGCTGGCGCTAAGGTGGCTCAGGGATAACGCCGCGGCGTTCGGCGGTGACCCTGACCTGATCACGATCTTCGGCGAGTCCGCTGGCGGCAGCTCGGTTTCCCTGCACCTGATATCACCTGTCACCAGGGGACTCGTGCGCAGGGGGATTCTACAGAGTGGCACGTTGAACGCCCCGTGGAGCTACATGACCGGCGAGAAGGCGAACGAGGTGGCCAGGGTGCTCGTCGACGACTGCGGCTGCAACTCCACCATGCTGCAGGAGAACCCGGCCAAAGTGATGGCGTGCATGAGGTCCGCGGACGCCAAGGCCATCTCTGTGCAGCAGTGGAACAGCTACTGGGGGATACTGGGATTCCCCTCCGCGCCCACCATCGACGGCATCTTCCTGCCCAAGGACCCCATCGAGCTCCTGCAGGAGGCTGATTTCAAGGACACCGAGATACTCATCGGAAACAACGAGAACGAGGGTGAGTGAGTCGATCTTGGGCTGCGTTTCATGGTGGAGGATGATTTTCCATGGATTCGATGGACCGTGGGTGTTTGTGGAGGTGGTTCTTGTGAGTTGGGTCGGTGTGGGTTTGATGGTTGGAATATGGTAGGATAGTTTTGGGAATAAACTGAGGGTAAATTGCAGGAATGGTTTCATGAAGTTGGAAGGGGAGTATATGGGAATAGGAAGTTCTTATTGAGTTTGATATAGAAGTTCTATAGGTAAATTCAATGGAGTATCTTTTGTAGTGACGCGTAGAGTTTTGTGTAATACGAGAATGTTTTATTTGAATTAATATTAGAATCTGTTTATTTAAAGTCTGATTTAATAGTAGAATAATTGTAAGGTTTAATAGTAATAGTGTTAATTTTAATAGAGTCATTGGAAGAGTGGAAAGACTTGTTTAACCAGTCGTTGCAGATTAACATTTAAGATGAATTAATATATAGTGAAACTGTAGTTGATTAACAATAATTATATTCAAGAATCAGAGTTGCATGTTACATTCGGATTTCGAAATTGTTCTTCGCAATTACCAATTCCCACAAACATCCGCAGTCCAGTTATTACAATAACCGTCAGCAGCAGGCACAGCTGCTTCATTCTTGTGATCGTCATTTGATGTTATTGTTTCCCTTGAAAGTTTCCCATTACGCGGAAAGTTGTTGCTTATCTTCATCAAGTGAACTGCCCGAAGTTCCGAATGAAGACATTCGCTTGATGCTAATTTAAAGCGTGCGCCGGCTGTTTGATTGTTTGTCGGTCAATTACGATCCGTAATTTTCTATCTGGAATGATTGTCGGCGGTGCATTTACATGCAAAGGGAATCTGTTTCGCCGCGGTAAAGGCGGGCCGCACGGCAAAGGGAAATTAAAAGAGCGTTCTTACCGAACGACCCGGTATCAGAGCGGCCGCCAGGCGGGACGGAATATTTAATATTATTTTCCAACGATATAATGGAATTTCTGGAATCGCTGCTCAAACGGATTGTTTGTCCCGCACTTTGATATGTCAGTTTCGTGGTACTTTTACATGTTAATATGCCCCTCCCACGTTGAGAGGGGGAGAGGGATGTATGAACAATGAACTTGTTAACGATCCGGTGGAACATTAATTTTCAGACTGTAATAATTACTGCAACGTCGTACGGGTTGTTTGAAGTGCGATTGTTATTCGAGTGATTGGTATGGTAATTGATAATCAGGAGAGTAATTAGAGTAATCTGTGAATCTTAAATGTTGAGGGTGAAATATTGAATTAGAAGAAATTAGCTGATGTATTTAAATTGTAACTATTATTTTGTTTTCAAATCTTTAGAAATTAGTAGTTGTTTCTTTAAGCAACTCTACCCAGATTTTTGTAATTGGAAGAAATTATCGAGTATACGTGAATTCTTACAATCGACTTATTCTTTTTCAAAGCTTCAAGAATTATCAACTGTCTCTTGTAACAACTTAACTTAAATTGTTATAGTTGACTATTATTTCTTCAAATCCTCGAAAATTATCAACTATGCTTTTCAACAACTCTACTTCAATTTTCATAGTTAACTAATACCTTTTCAAATCTTCAAGAATTATCAACTATACTTTTAACAACTCTATTTAAAGTGTTCTAATTGATCATTACTTTCTGAAATCCCTAAAAATTATCTACTATACCTTTCAACTCTACTTCAATTTCTATAGTTCACTATCACTTTCTCAATTCCTCTAAAATTATCAACCACACCTTTCAACAACTCTACTTCAATTTCTCATCATCAACCATAGTTTTCATCAACTCCACTTCAATTTCTCATCAACCACAGCTTTCAGCAACTCTTCAATCACCGCAATAAACCATTCACTTCAAACGTCAACCCCCAAACACCATCAACTCCAAACCTCTCAAACGACAATTCCCCTTGAAATCCCGAAAACTGTAACGAACTACGACAAATGTTCAACCTCTCGTCAATTCCGTCGATACTTTCGTAGCCGACTGTAGCTGAAATTCCCACGAGTTTATCTGAGATGAGCC